ACGGCTTTGCCCAACACAAGTTATAAATTCGGGCACCGCCGGGAATCGAACCCGAGACCCCAGGATTTTCTAATCCTAACCGCTAGACCACCGTGGCTACTTTGTTTGATAACCGGAAGGAATGACGTAACCTGGGGGCAATTAGGCGTAAATCGGTTGATAATATTAAAATAGATAAGGCCTCTAACTTAATGCATTCATGAGCAGAACGCGTGTTCTTTCTCGAACGTAGTTGGCATAGAATGTTTGTCTTACTGTTCGCGAAGTATCATAGTGTGTCCCGGCGTGGAAGTGCGGATCAAGACCGCAATACATCGACTGATAGGAAATTTACGGGTGCATTGTTTCCTTCGAGGAAGGGGTGGACACTTCCATCTGCTGCTGAGCTCTTCTGTAAGTTCTTCCTAACAAACAGGAAGTAAGGAACAATTTGTTTGTCTTGATGTATGTCAGCGAAGCTTACAAATATTGTCGTAGTTAGAGCTGCATTTTAAATAAACTTCATTGCTCAAAGCCGTTTTAAACGATATTAAGGAGGATGCATTCAAATGTGCGTCATTTTCGTGCAGTCTACTCGTCCTCCTTTGGCCGAAATACGTCGTTTCGGACGGAACCGCGCCTGACAACTTGATTGCCCGCCGCTGAATTTTGATGCCGTTGAGAGGTTAATTGAATCAGTAGAAATCCTGGCTTTGGAGCAAATCGACGTTGCCGCGTACAGCCACTTTCAAGAAACTGAAATGGCCCTTCATTACGTTACATCGCTGCTTGAAGTGAGGGCTTGCAAGTAGCGAGCGTCACCTGGCACGTGGCAATTGATTTGAACGTGATAGTTTCTCAGGTTCTACGGTAATTTTCTCTATGATACGGAACCCAAGATTTGGCGTACAGATTCAGCTGGATGTAGTCCACAATCTTAACCCCATTTCCTTAACACGCATTTCAATTGTGTCTTCCGTTCTAATATTATCCTTTCATCATCGTATAGCCCCCAAGTGGTCTCTTATCTCAGAATGTGTAACCATTTCTCTACTCTTTCCTGATCTCTGTCATGCGTCTGCATTGTCCGTCGTATGTCTTCAAGAGATCTGTGAGCGTTGGATAAGAAAGACTGTGCTTGGTCGCCGTGTCATATCCTACAATAATCCGAACTGTGAACATTAAGAAGCTGGCGAGTTTAACAAAAGGCCCCGAGCGACTGCTTCGTTGCCATAGATACTACTCGCCTGGAACAAATGACGATAGACCTGCGTAATTGCCTCGCCTTGATGAAGCCGAAACTGAATGCTCCAGTTCACTGGATGATTGAATAGATAATTTGCTTCAGATCGTCTCGGCTGCTGAAGATTCTCCCGATGGTTCTGTTAACGGTCCCTTGTAACCAAAAGACCGGCTTCCCCTGTAGTAAAATTTAAGGCCGTCGCTAATGGCGAAACGGACCTTTGCACGTGATATGTTCTCAAAACCTGTTTCCCTGGTTTTCGTTTTAATATTATCCTGTTGTTTTGTGTCCTCATTGTTTGTATTAGGAAGGCAGGTGGGGTGGCAACAATTTCCTAACAGAACAATGTCCAACGTCCTGTGATTTCGTCTTGGACCTAATTTATTCTCAGTTTCGTTCTTATTAGATATTTACTATCTGAAACATTCTCAAATGACCTATTACGTAAAACTTACATCACGACTTTGTTTCTGGATTTATTTTTGTGTTATTTTATTTATTTAGTGTTCTGTCTGAGGACAGGTCCATATGAACAGGATCCTTCCATCCTTTTCTCGGACTGGGACCTGTTCATATACGTTCTTGGCAGATGATCCAGAAGTGGTTTGCCATTGCCTTCTTCTGTGTGTGAATGGAGTAATTGTTGGGATGCCACGGAGGAAAACTCCGTGTTGCCTAGACCACGGCCTTGCCCAACAGTTTTTGTGTTATGGTCGTATAAATAGTTATATTTGCATTCACTTTTTGACCGTAGCGGTGGACACCGGGCCTGTTCCATTTGGAGGAAAGCGGTTGGAGCGTGATGCTAACAACTCACGTTCATCTAGTACCGAGATTGAGAATGAGTGGAACCATATCTCCAATTCCCCATACATATCCATGGCTTGGTTCGTTAATTAAGAACCCGGGACGCATTTTATTTGCATTCTGAATTTCGAATTGCGGTCACTTTAACAGCAATCAGTGAATCATCGTCGAGTACTGTCCGTCACGCATTTCTGTTCTGTGCTGTCTCAATGTTCTGCCAAGATTTCTCTGTTTTCCGATGTCGCGAACTCCTGTCGATTCTCCAGACTCGTCGTTCTGAACAGAACAAAACAAGGAGTAAGATTTTCGATGTACAGTCTGGGGACAGGGAAACGGTGTTCGGATTGCATGATTTTCTCCTCATGTTCCGTCCTCTGTCGTGTGAGCGCGTCTGCCTTCGCCCGCAGGGACCGCGTTGGGAAACGGACAGGACGGAGGAGCGCTTCAGGAGGTGGACCACGTGTGTCAGCAGTTACTGCGAGCTGGCAGGGGACTTTGTTCCTAAATGGAACTTGTTCAGTGGCACTTAACGTTACGTGTCGCAAACGTGGGAGGCCGTGAACGCCGCCAGGCGTCAAGGGCGATGTGTGCGCATTCTGACCGGGGCGCTCGGTCTCTGGCCGTCCCTTGCTTGCGCGATCGTGTATCCTGGCGTTTGATTCTTCCTTCCGCGTTGAACTTTTGCGTCTAAAGAATTTAAATGACGTCGTAGGAGCAGTTGTGGCAGTCCGACGCTGTTCACTTGTTAATCTCAGGTAATTCCCCTCACCACCACCACCACCGTCTGTTCTAGGGTTTGAGACTAGCTCTATCTAGCGGTCAAACACGGCCAGTTTCCGAAACTTTGTGGCACAAGACATTGACGATGGTCAGAGTCCTGACGATGAATCAGAAATCATTAGATGTATCACACATATTGATGGTGCTTATGAGAACATGGCGAGTAGAGTCTTTGGAACCTAAGACGGTTAAAGAGACAGCTGTGTAGAAAGTTTCATTCTGAGGAGCTTCATAATTTGTATCCTTCCACAAATGTTATTAAGACGCTGAAGTCAGGGAAATGAGATGGGGGTGGCATGTAGCATGAATAGGGGAGATAATAATGGGTACAAAGTTTTCGTTTTAAAACCTGAAGTGAAGAGAACACTTGGAAGACCTAAGTGGAGATGGGAGGATAATATTAAAATGGTTATTTAAGAAATATGATGTGTAAACTGGATTCATTTCACTCAAGATGGGGATAACTAGTTCTTGTGCACACAGCTTTGGATTCCGTACAGATGGGCGACTGTCAGCTTCTCGAGCAGTACTCCGCTCGACTGGGCCGTTGAATGACGCATTTGTGCGCCCTGTATCGGCCTGCAGCCTAACCAAACCTGCAGGCACCGTTTCCAAAACGGCTTTTGTTTTATCTCCTGCTCGCTGACATTTCGATTTTCGGTTGTTCTTCAAAACGCGTGGGCTTAATTCGTTTGCTGCTCGGTTAGGCAGGCGTTTGTTCGTCTGAATAATTCGTACAGAAGACCAAGTTTTCCTTACGAATCATATTTCAGTTTTAATTAAAGTTCCAGGCGTTTCCCTGCGGTGACAGAAATTATACAGGCGCTCAATTGTTTTCGCCCGCTGTCCGCCTAACTTCTGTGTCGCCGTTTATTTACATGCACGCCTTATGGTTGCCATGGCTACGCGATCGAGTGTTGCAGATAGAGGCAGACATTTTGACTGTAACTGTCTTATTTCAGTAGAACTTCGGGTTACTTCCCAGAAATCATTTTTTGATTGCCAGTGTAATCCTGACTCGGCAGATACGTCGGTTTGTTCGAGTGTACTTCCGGTTGAGGCTACAGTCCGTAAGGGCCTTCCCCGTAACGGCGTATCGATCCATTGACTGGGTCTCGATAATTGAGTATCGATTATAATACAAGGACATAAAGGACACGTTCTGACTTGGACGAGCGATTCATTGCTTACACGTCGTAAATATAAGTTGGCAGCATGCATAAACCGTAGTACAGCACGCGTCAAAAGTAAGTAGACCTGGCCACGTCTTCATTTCGGACCGTGATGTTCGTTCTGGAAACTACAAAGTGATGAATAATGGTGACACAAGGTTTTTGCAAAGACTTGCGCCAGACTAACTGAAAGAAAGGAACTGGGTGTTACGTAAAGTTCGTGCTGGTAGCACGCAGCAATGAATATATATCTTTTCCAAAATTGCTCAGTCTTTTGTATTGTGACTTAAAAATGAAAGCTGTTGGTAGAATCCAATCTTTTCTGCATCAGTACAGTTACTAACCCCACCCCCACCCCATCTTAAACGAAATTTTAATTTGAACTTGTCAATTTTTAGAGATGGGCAGCCATCGGTTCGTTTACTGAGCCAGATTAATCCAATTTACATCCTGAAACCCCGTTTTTCGTAAGATCCATTTTAATTTTAATATTAATGGTTGATAAGCCACGGTGGTCTAGCGGTTAGAACGCTGGCCTTGTAATCCTGGGGTCTCGGGTTCGATTCCCGGCGGTGCCCGAATTTATAACTTGTGTGGGGCAAGGCCGTGGTCTAGGCAGCACGGAGTTTTCCTCCGTGCCATCCCAACAATTACTCCCTTCACACACAGAAGAAGGCAATGGCAAACCACTTCTGGATCATCTGTCAAGAACGTATATGAACAGGTCCCAGTCCGAGAAAAGGATGGAAGGATCCTGTTCATATGGACCTGTCGTCAGACAGAACACCAAATAATAATAAATTAATGGTTACCGTCAGAGCTCTTGGATCATATATTTTAATATTATCCTCTTGTGTACGCCTGGGTCTTCCGAGAGATCTCTTCGTTCTGGCTTTCCAGCCGAATGTTAAAAACGCGATTAATGTGAACTCCGGGGGGCAGAGTCATTCGTGATGGGCTTATAGTTGCTCAGCTGGTCAAGGAGATTCGTAAATGGGCGGGGACACGCGGTTGCCTACCTGTAGGTGATGAAGGCGAAGACGAGACCAACGAGCGATACGCTGCTCCCAAGGACCACGACCAGGGACAGGGCGCCTTCCTGCGTCATCTGCTCGGCCGAGAGTCCCCCGGTCAAGTTTGGAAATCCGTGCACCCGCGCTGTGTAGAAGTTCTCCATCCTGGGGCCGCGATCACTTCCTGGAACAGTGAAGCGCGGTCACAGAAGACCCGGTCAGGTATTCGGTGAGTTCAGTGTACGCCTCGTCCGCCTTGAGAAGCCGACAGCAAACGTAGAGTGGACAAGTGGCCATAAAGTTTGGTCAACTCGTTTTCTTTTAGGTCAGGACATGTGAGTTCAGTGTGCGCTTTTGATAATTGCTGCTAAAAAGTTATATCTGCATGCTTTTAGTTAGCACATCCAGCATTCGAATCGTCTGCTTGCCGTGCAGATCCTGCGGCCGTGAAATTTAACGGGCAGACAAAGAAGACGGAGTTTCTGTAATCTTCCTTCTTTCCGCCACGCGCGCGCGGAAAAGTGTCTGCAAGTCGCATGTAAATGAGACAATTTGTCTTATAAAACTCGTCTGCCAGGTGTTCATCTCTCTCCGTCGGTCGCTAAGCGACGCTCAGATTTTCGCTGTTCGGAGCCGCGACGGTAGATGATAGGTCGCAGGCAAACGGGAAGAAACCTCCGTGAGCCTCTCGTAATAAATGAGAAATTTCGGGCGGGGAATCGGCTCATTTGCTGTTTTGAGACTGAACAATTAACGCGCCATTCCAAGTACAGCCATACCACGAAAGTGCAAGTGTGACATAAGTTACTTACTTTGTGGGGACGTGAGGCGTAAGATTGCATTTGATGGGTGTGGTGAGTCCCTGGTACAGTCATATGTTTCATCTGAACTCTCAAGAGGGACGGGATGGGTCTTCGCCAAGCATCATCCAAGACAGCTATAGAAATTCCAATTAAGTCTGTTGTTTCGAGTGTCTGGATTGAATGAGGAGGGGAGGATGCTAGCGAGTTTCAGGGTCGGCATTAATATTAAACCACGGCAAGCTTAAAGCAACCCTCGGTAACAATAATAACATTCTATTCTGCAGCCAGGAATTTGGGCAATTCTGAAATGTCGTACAATATAGTGAACTCTAAGTTTGTTAGATTATTAATAATAAGTTAGTCAGATTCTAATTAGGTTGGATACGTAACTATCTATTTGGTTAGCAAGTTATTACCGTATTTAATTAAGTCACTGTGTCAATTAATTATTCAGCAACAAATGAGACAGACTCGCGTCGGGTTTTAACGCGAACGGACGCAGATGCTGTAACTAGCCATCACGGCAAGCTCCCATTGGGACGTCCCATCAGTTAAGAAGAAGCCGCCGACCGATTAAAATATAAAATGACGTAGCCTTTTTTATTTTGACTTAGTGACGTCGGAAAGTCATCTAAACCCTGAGGGATGACCCAACTTCGCGGTCGAGCGGTTAGCACTCTTTCGTCCGGGGTTCGAATCTCAGCCCAGAAATCTCCTGTCATGATGGAGGTCATTCATGGTTTTCCTCAGTCACCTTATGGGAATGCCAAGATAGGCCACGACCGCTTCTTGCTATCTT